TCCATTTCAGCTCTCAGCTGAGTTCTGACACCGTGTTATTTGCGTCGAGACTAAGGATCACACAGAGTGTGTTTAAGCAGTTTTCCGTCAAATCTGCAAGCTAACTCAGAGGAAATGAAGTAAGATAAAACAAATATGTAATCGATTTTGCCCAACTTCAGCAGACAGATCCAAGTCACCCTGTGGTCATACAACTCCTAAATACAGCAGAAGACAGCGAGTGCACTGCTGGGACAGTGAGGAATGATGGACCAACTGCTAGTTATTTTAGCAGCATTTCTGTGCAGCTCTTGTCAAGTGTAAGGAAACTACACCCTTAGAAGTGACATCTGTATAAGATTTCATTATGACAATGTTATAGGAGATCAATCTGTTACTCTAGGGATTCTGGCTGCACAGAGGAAACATATTTAAAAGAGGAGCTGTAGTCACTTAAGACATTTTTGAATGAAGCTTCTAATATTAATTTAATTTTTTAGAGGAATATTTATGCTTTAATTAAGTTTGGTACTATTATGATTAACAAATAGTACAAAAATTATTATTTCAGTCTGTTTGTCTTCTAGTTACATAACTCAATGCTTCAGTGTTTTACTGTTCTTTCACATTTAGGTGGGTACTCGTTAAGCTTTATACTGATTAGCTCATCTTCGATACTGTATGAAAAATTTGCTAACATGTTTTGTATATCAAAGCATGACAGGTTTGTGCTATCATGAAAATACAATTTTATTTTTGTTTTCTCAGCTTTGAAAATGCCATTTCCATGGAACTGGAGAACAGAAGCCTCCTGACAAATGAGAAATGTTCCTTTGTAAATGAGAGACAAAAGGACAATCTGGATATTGTATACTGGTATAATTCTTAGCTGAAATATTAAAAACATTTGAATGTGAGATTCAGTGACAAATATTAAATTACAAAATTAAGGGGTGAAAGAACATTGAGTTATAATAGAGTCAAGTTATAAAGGAAGGTAACATAATGCAGATTAAGTTTTGCAGAAAAGAAAAACTTATTATGAGGTAGTTTAAGAGAAGGTTTGCAGGTACAAAATTACCCTTTTACTTTGTACTTGGGATACATACTCCAACCTTACGAGCATTCACTTCAGAAGTTTAGGGGTAACTGCAGCAGATTCCAGCAGTTTGCCTCTAGTTTTTTTTTCAGTCCACTGCAATAAAAGTTACAATTCAAGCAGTATATTTGACTGTCCCAAACATTTAGATTCTCAAGTTCTTCAGTTTCATAGGAAAATGGTCTTCTCTGTAAATTCTTTCATATACTCATGACAATCTTTTTTACAAGAAAATTTGAGATTAAAAAACCAAAGAGACAGACTTTTACTCCAAGCACAGTTAAAGAAAAATCTCTGTACTGAATGACTAAATGAAAACTTCAGCCAAACGCGTACCCTTTCTGAGTTGCAAACAAGTGAGAGCATGAGGCTAAAACTGGTCATAAAGTTTGGCTGTTCGCATTAAATTCATTATTTGTCGAGGATTTAATTTTCCAGCAGTATTACTAAATCACAGCTTGAAAACAAAGTCTTCTGAAGTGATGCAAACAAAGCAATTTTATTTCCTTGTAGAATTTTTAATTGCAGAAGGCCAAAGTCCTGGTTGATGCAAAAATTCACTGAAATGAATATTCTAAACACATAGATAACTCAACAGGGTTCTAAATACACCAGTAATTTAATTTATAGGGGGGAAAAATGTAGCAACTTACTTGTCAGCTGAGCTTTAGAGAACTTCCCTGTACAGCTGTGATCCTGGATATTGTTCTGCAGCTTCTGCCATTCCTGAGCTTGAAAGAGGTGGAGTCTAGCTGCTTTTGTCACAGCTACTGCCACATTCTTGATTCTGACACACAGAACAGCATGATCACCTTGATATTGAAAAAATGAAATCAACTACTCTGCCTTGATGTCAGTTACAAGCACACAGTGTGGCACAGATTTTTTATAAGTAGCCACACTACAGCTTCACATAATTTCTTAAATTTTTACCACTACTTCCTAATAAAAGTAATTATGGACTTTCAGGAACAATTTCTATACACCTCATTAACAAAACACCACATGCACGATTCCCTGTGACGGCACTTAAACAAACCTTCAACATAGCCCAAATGTCATTAACCTTCTCTACTACAAAAGCTTTGCTTTGCCTTCCCTTCCCCCTCTTTTTTTTTTTTAAACAGACTTCCAGATACCTTTTTCTTTTTTCCTTCCTCCCACCCCAAATTTTATTTTCTCAGGTTAAAGACAGTGCCTCAGTAGCCTCAATAACTGGTTCAAAGTCTAGTATTTTATGACCTTTGTGGCATGATTACAAGCATTGTGGAGTAGCTCTTAAGAGAGCTTAAGAGAAATACCAGAAGAACTCATGTAAATGGGCTTTCATGTTATGGATGGATTAGAGTTAAAATACTTAATTGCAGAGATGACAGATGTCAAATTGATACAAAGAAAATCAAACTTCAAAAGTGTTCTCTAATGTGTCAGTCTGTGTACAGAATCACAGAATGGCAGAATGGCCTGGGTTAGAAGGGACTTAAAAGATGATTTAGTTTCTATTTCCCCTGCCACAGACAGGGACACTTTCCACTAGACGAGGTTGCTCAAAGCCTCATCCAACCTGGCCTTAAACATTTCAGGGATGGGACATCCACAACTTCTCTGGACAACCTGTTCCAGTGCCTCATCACCCTCACAGTAAAGATTTTTTCCCTAATGTCTAATCTAAACCTACTCTCTTTAGTTTGAAACCACCACTCCTTCTCCTGTCACTATAGGCTGCACCTTGACACACAGAAATATTTCAGTCATTTTAGAACTAGCTCATTTGGCACAATTTATCTTGTCTGAGTATTTCTACAATCCTCAAATTTATTTTGATAAATTCTTTCATATATTGCCATAGACTTCTTTAACATAAGAGTATCCTAAATTAAAAGGCAGAATTTAATGTAGAAGAAAAATCAATTGGTACTGCAAGAGCACAAACTCCATTCAAGTTTAAGCAAGCTTTGAATGTTTATCTGTAAGAGTAATCTTCTTTCCCCCTAACCTTGGCATCAGCTAGATTTGAGTCAACAGACTAGTACTACCTTCAGATAAGGATGGTTTGCTGTTCACAGCCAGCTGCAAGACAGTGGTCCTGCAATAAAACCTCAGATAAGGTGATCTCCTGGTATCTGTAAAATGTTGTATGAACCACAGTTTGCCTAAGATTTTGCACTATTTAAAAAAAAGCTTCATGTTGGTATTCATGCAAAAAGAGGAGTATTTTTAAGCAAATATGCAACATCAATTTACAGAATTATATCTGAACACTTACACTTACACAACTCATCTTTAATCTTAACAGTCTTTCCTCAGATTTAAGCAGTGTACTTTTTTTTCCTTTAGATCTATTTAGAGCACTTCTACAATTATCTTCTAGGACAGTGATAATTAACTGCCTTCAAGTCACTCCACAAGCTATCTCCACCCCATCTATCGCCTCTCATTCAGTGCTGGAAGGTCACACTCCAACTCCGTTTGGCTTTCGTCATCTTTTCCTTCGTCCCATTTGATTTTCAAGCATTCTGCAAAACTCTTGCTGCCGTGAGGCTCAATGGGAAAGAAAACAGCCTAAGCTACTGAAATTCTGAGCATCCAGGAAAAGCATGCTGACCCTACATGGCACTCATCATGCTTTTGTACACTTCCTTCTGCAGAATAAAACTTCTGTAGCAAGGAGAGCAGTTCACAGCCTTCTGCAGTGGCCATTCCAACAGGATCCCAGCCTGCTGCTAGGCCTCTTAGCTAAGAGTCAGGAATTATTACTAACAAGGAGTCAGTAACACAGGAAAGAAAAGCCATTGGGAATAACCAGGTGAGACTTTACATCCTGACGCGTGGTGACACCAGGAGCACCCGGCGATGGGGCACAGCCACCTGCAGCGCTGGCATCGCTGCCGGTCGGCGGGGTCCCGGGAGGAAAGGAGGGATGCGTGTCACAGCTAAAACGCCTCTGTTCTCCCGGACACTGGGACGGGAGTGCCCACCCCAGGCTGCGGGACACGAGGGGACGCGCGACGCTTCTCCATCCGTCACAAAGAGCGCGGGGCTGCTCCCAACTCTCGCTTCCAGCGCTTCGGAACAGCCCCGTCACGCTCCGGACGGGTTCCGCTGCTGCCCGGAACAGCGGATGGGACCAGCTGAGCATCCCGGCGGAGAGAGTGCAGGAAGGAGGGAGGGAAGGACGGGGAGCTGCGGGGCTGAACCCGTTCCCCGCCCCGCGGCTCCCCCGGGAGCCGCCGCTCTCCCCGCTCCTCACACCCCCCGCAGCCGCGTTCCGGGACGGCGCAGCCGCTCTCCCGCTCCCCGACCTCGGGGCACCCACCGTGGAACTGGAAGCGCGCCACGGGCCGCCACGGCTCGAGGCGGGCGGCGGCGCTGGCGAAGCCGCCGCGAAGCGTCTTGCCCATGGCGGGGCCCCAACAGCAGCAGCCGGCGGCGGCGGCGCAGAGCAGCCACAGCAGCCGCCGCCGCATCCCCGGGATCGGGATGGGGACCGGGACCCGCCGGACACCGCGATCCTCCAGCCCCTCCCCCTCCCCGCTCTAGCCCACCGGGTCACGTGACACCCCCCGGGCTGGCGCGAGCGGGAGGGCGGGAACGCAGAGAGAACCAATGAGGGGACGTGCCCGCCCCTGGGGGCGTGACCGTGAGGCTAGGCCCCGCCCCTGCCGCAACGTGTCCTGTTGCCGGTCCCGGCCGTAAGTCGAGAGACCCGGTGTCGTAAAAGAGGTGACGTCCATCGATTCGCTGGAGGCGGAGTTTTGGTGCTCTGCGTAAGCCGTGCCCGCGCCAGTGCCCTGAGGGGCGGCAGGAGCTACCGTCTTGGGGCCGCGGGGGGAGCGAGGAGGGCGATTTTTCAATGAGCCTCTCGCAGGTGCTGCGACTCTGCCCATGAAACCCGCGGGCCCGTTCCGCGCACGCGCGGCCGGGGGTGGGGGGGAAGAGGAGAACGGTGCCGTAAAGCGCGGACGATGTCGGGGCGGGCGGGCGCCGCGGTGCCGCCGGCGTTCGAGAAGAGGGTCCTGGTGACGGGCGGTGCCGGCTTCATGTGAGTAGTGCCCCGCCCGGGCTCCTGCCGGGTGGCGCGGGTGAGACGCCTTGTGCCTGTCCCGGGCCGGTCCCGCGCCGCCGCCGGCTCGGGCCGCGTTCGCTCAGGGGCTGCTGGTGGCCCACTGTGCGTTTGGACGCGGTAGGTGCTGGGGAGCGAGCTGGGGTGCTGCCCCGCCCGCCCTTCGCCCGCGGACAGCGAGAAGATGACGGATCCCCCGGCACTGACAGTGGGAGGCGGTGCTCGGTCTCTGCTGGGTTTATGGTTGTACAGGGAAGGGCAACGAAACTGGCGAAGGGTCTGGAGCACAAGTTTTGTGAGGAACAGCTGAGGGCGCTGGGGTTTTTAGTCTGGAGAAGAGGAGGCTCAGGGGAGACCTTATCGCTCTCTACAACTACTTGAAAGGAGGCTGTAACCAGGAGGGGATCGACCTCTTCTCTTAGGCAGCTAGGGACAGGATGAGAGGACTTCGCCTCAAGCTGCGCCGGGGAGGTTCAGGTTGGACATCGGCAGGAATTTCTTCACAGAAGGAGTGATTGGGCATTGGAATGGGCTGCTCAGGGAGGTGATGGAGCCACTGTCCTTGGAGGTGTTCAAGAAGTGACTGGATGTGGCACTCAGTGCCATAGTGTAGTTGACAAGGTGGTGATCGGTCATAGGTTGGACTCGATGATCTCAGAGGTCTTTTCCAACCTGAGAGATTTTGTGTGATTTTGTGGGTTGGGGGTCGAAGTGCTTTGAGCCAGGTGCTATTTCCCATGTCAGCCCCCCAGCGTTGGTGGCTCTGGTGGAGTCAGAGAAAGGTCTGGTCTGTCTTAAGCTTGAGCCCATCAGTGAGCTCTGAGCCAGAAGTTTTGAGAGGATAAGATTTCTCTGTGTGAATAACACCTGCTAAATCTGAGCCCTGAACTTCTTGTACACAAGACTGTGCCAAGGAGGAAATGCCACCCGATTGTCTGGTTGTCACTTCTTGACAGCAGTGTCGGAGAGCTGAGTGATGGGAGTCAGTATTATGGGTTAGGAGAGTTGACTGTTTGGTTCTCCCTGATGCCCAGTGTATAAACTAAAGAGCGTAAAAGTATTTTAGAGTGGCAATTGAATATAGCATTTAACAGTTTGTTGGGGGTTTTTTTATGCGACTGTGAGGAATGATGATTTCTTTCATTATAGCATGAAATTTTATTCTGATTTTTAATTTCTTAACCGTATGCAGTTATGTATACAATATATTAGGGTAATGTATAGAGTATATGTTAGAATAATGTTGACATATATCTTTGAATTCCTCTTTCACCTCTCTTGAGTATAGCCCCTTCTTCCCCTGAGGACTTTTGATATTGCTGAACTTATTTGTAATTTGTCATCTCTTTTGTTACCTTACAGCTAAGTGTATAATTGTAAAACATGTTTTTCTTCTACTCTGCAGTGCTTCACATGTAGTGGTCTCTCTCGTGAAAAACTATCCAAATTATCTGATTATAAATTTAGATAAGGTAATAGCTTGTTTTCTTTCTTGATATGGAAAACTGTTTTAAATGATTTTTGATGCAGTCTACAACATGTTGAAATTTATATGGTCTATTGTTAGTTACTAATTTTTGTTTGATATTCCATTTGTTCCTATGCAAACAAAAAAAAATCAACTGCTGTTCATGTTCCCACCACAAATAATTATTTGATTTAAAAAAAAAGAAAGAGGGAAGCTTTTCAAGCTTTAAGCTTGCATTTAAGAATTTTTGTATTTAAGGTATCTTTTGAAGTTGTGTTTTTAAAGCTTAATCACATCTGCTTGTGAAAGAGGTTGTCTTTTGAAATAAGTTTTTACTTTATTCTCAGGCTTTCTACTGATTAGGTTAGCTTATTTGCTTCCATGAAGCCCATTTATTGATGTTGTGTGGTTATTTCTCTTTAGCTCGACTACTGTGCAAGCTTGAAGAATCTTGAAACTGTCTCTGGGAAGGAAAACTACAAGTTTATCCAGGTGATAAAGCCTTCTCTTCTAGAAACTTGACTTTTTACTGATTTTTATCCCTTTGTATCCCAGGTAATGTGGTCTCCAGAGGTCCCCAAAGTGGAAGCCGCTGCTTTCATTTATGATAAAGTTGAAATTACTTCTACTCCTTCATTGTCAGAAATGAGTCAGCATAGGTAATATGCCAGTGTATGTGACAGTCAAATGGACATAACAGCATTTACTTCATCTGTTGCCATATTAATAGCCTTTGTATTTCACCCTCAGAAGCCTCTGACCATATGTAGTATATTCTGTCTTTTACATGAAGTAGTCTTTGAAAAGTTGATATATTTGATTGTATCATAAAGGTGTAGAATTGGTAAAAGTGTAATTTTGAGATGAATGGTTTTAGGGATGGTTGTTTCACTTTTAATATGTGTGTGGTCAAGATGGACTTTGCAGCTCTTCTGTGCTTCTCTGATGCTCTCTTAGGCTTTGAACCTTTAAAATCCACTGCTTCTCATATTCCATGGTGTGCAACACACTGTTGTTGTGTTCATACTGGACATCAGGCTACGTTCTTGCTTGTGCTGCTGTTGATGCTCATACAGTTCACAATCATTCTGGAATGGGGTTTCATGGTAACATTCAAGGTATACCTTCTCTTTTGGAAGTTTTGCCAGTTAAATTTGTTTACTGCTTCCACAGTTTGTCTTCAAATAGGAGATTGATTCTGATTTATTGTTCAGATCAGTATTCTGACTGTTGGGCTTGTATGCTGAGGTTCTTCCTCTCTACCAAAGTCAGTGCTGATGCTGGTCTCTCTGTCTTGGGGGCTGCCAAGGCTGCAGGACATTTGAGAAGTGCATATAGTTTAGTTTTCTGAAATAGCAACATTGTCAGAGATAGTAGATGTGAGGTCCCTGTGTGAAGCAGGGGAACAGTAACAAGGAATGATCTGGTTATACTGCTTTTGAACTAGAGTAGGAATGTCTAAGCAAACTTAGACCAGTACCAGTATAAATAATTCCAACTTTTCAGTGGTTTTTTTTTTTTTGTGATTTGGTGCTTGTATGTTTTTTTGTTTTGTTTTGTGAGGGTTTTTTTTCGTTGTTTTGGTTTGGTTTTTTGTTGTTTTGTTTTGTTTTTGTTATATTTTTGTTTGTTTGTTTTTTAGAGACAGTTTGTCACAGCTTAACATGCAGCTGATATGCAACCAAGCCGTTTACACAGACAGGAAGAAGTGCCCTGGAAAAAATAATCTCTGATGTGTAACCCTTTTGATTAGAAATGTAACACTGTTGCTGACCTTAGGAGACGGCAAGAAGGATAGACACTCTAGTGGTACTTGAAAAGGAAGCCTGTTTTGGAAAGTAGAGAAGTAAAAGTTCAGCAAATTTGCATCAGGGGCTGTGTAAAAGATAAATTTTTATCACAATTTCTGTTGTTGCTCATCACAGATGTACTAAGCTTGAATTTCAGTTTAAAAAAAAATCAGTAATTGTAACCATTTAGTTCAAAATAAGGTATGAGCCTGAAGTGTATTTACTGGAGTGTTTGTTTCACTTTTATTCAGGGATGAGAAGTAGGGAAATCAGTTCACCTTCCTCCCATTTCTGACATAGAATACTTTTTTGAGGCTGTTATTCAGAATTGTTACTTGAGAACTTCTTGAAACATAGATACATTTGAACTATTTTTAGTTACCTGCCTTGTTTTTGAAAATACAAAAGTCTTCCAAGAGACACCTCTTCTCAGGTGCTGTCTTGTTTAAGTTGAGCCAACAGGTAAATATCGAAGGTTTTTCTCAGCTTGCAGCAGTTTTTTCTCTACCTTTAGAAGGTGCTAGTTCTGATGTCAAATTAAAGAATGTTTTTTTGTGTCGATGCCTGTCTCTTTTTTGGTAAATATATCAATTAAAAAAATAAATTACTGTAACAAACAACAAAAAGCAAAATCCTCACAAGACGTGCAGCCATCTATTTTGACAGAAGTGGAAATCAGCTTCACCACTAGATGTCACTGTCTGCTCAGCCAGACTCCGGTAGCTCTTCCTCGCTCTGGGAACCTGGCATTTCAAACTCAGCGTTGAAGTTCCACAATATGTTGCTGTTGTGTGTATTTTGGGGAACGTTGCTGTTTTTCGTGTTAATAGTAATAAGTTTCCTGAAATAAGTTTTGTTGAGGATGTTTCGCAAAATGGGTGAAATTTTATATCTGGTCTTATTTTAGACATGGAATTGATAAATTGCCCAAAACTCAGTTGATAGTGGTGTTTATATCCTGTGCTCGCTTTGTAATGATTTGTTATATGACAACTGGTATGAGACTATTTTCTATCAAAAATGATTTTCTAATTTTTTTTAGGGGGATATTTGTGTACCTGATTTTATAAAACACCTCTTTGAAACTGAGAAAATAGATATAGTCCTTCATTTTGCAGCCCAAACACATGTAGGTGAGCATCGCTGCATGTTTTCATATTGTTTTCCGTGGCTATACCTGCTTGAAATGTATACTGATATTTTTTGTCTTTTCACTTCATGTAAACTAAGGATCCAGTTTGTATCTGCAAATGATGTGCTTCGCTGTCTGGTAGCCTTTTTAACTTAAAGGAGGTCATAGCCTTGATTTCAAAAGTGCTTCATCTGACTGTTGTCTGTTTTGATTGCACATAAATGGTAATGCCCTCCTCCCCCTTTTTACTTGCATTACGTTTTTAAATTCCATCTAGACTCACATGTAACTGACAGTGTACTGATGGAGTCATAAAGGCAATGGAGAGAGAGTTTGTGCATAGTCTTAAGTTTTTACTTGATTGGCTCCAACCACACATGAGAAAACACAGTGTAGAAGCTGAAGGATTAAGTCCCGTCAGAATGCTGCCTCAGTTCTAGAGAGAATGAGTTATACTTAAAAGTGCCTATTTCAGATTGTTGCTCTTCATTATCACTGTTATTAAGAACAATCCCTGCCATACTCCTTTCATTGTGAGAAGAAATCCTCAAAGAATTCCCCAGGAAAATATTTCTTGAAATTGTCAGATTTGATATGCACAAAGTCATTAGGTCAGTTGGACAATTAGAATTAGAGCAGGTGCTGGTTAATTACAGTAATAGATATGTGTTACTGCATCTTACAACTGTCTTTGACACTTTCCTTACGGGGCTTAACCTTTCCTAGTGAGAAGGGAAGTAGTTATGCTTAAATAAAGTTAGATAATGCTATTTTATGTTAAAAAGTCCATAGCCAACAAGCTTTTGCTCCTGATTCCAACCTCCTGTTGAAAGCAAAGATTTTTGTCTTCAAGTAAGTGTAGAAAGTCCCTTTATTTAATAATGACCTTGCTATCTGACAAGTCTATATTTCAGCTTCTAGTATTATTCAGTAAGAACCAATAGCCCTGTGTTGCCTAAATTTAATCAGAGTTGTTTGAATTTTTTTATGTAGATCTTTCATTTTGGCATGCCCTGGAATTCACCTACGTGAACGTTTATGGCACTAATGTGCTGGTTGCTGCTGCACATGAAGCCAATGTGGAGAAGTTTGTCTACGTTAGTACAGATGAAGTATATGGAGGTAGCACTGATGGGGTAAGTTTGAAAGTACATGAGGGTTTTCCTAGCTTTACTTGCTTTTTATAGTGAAAACAAACTGAGCCTAACTTTCCTTGGCTTTTGTAAATGTGTGACTTTCAAGCTGTTTCTGACAGTACTGGGACATATTATACTGGGACACTGGTTATTTCTAGAAAGCTGAGTGTCAAAATTGTCCTGATTTTTTTTTTTTTTTTTAATATTGTGTTTTATATTGAATAGGTATTACCTAAAGCAGTGAGGTTGGGGTCATTAATGACCTGAATACTCCTCAGAAATAGTATCAGAGAGTGTATTATGTAGTTTTTGTCTTGGAGCATTAGTGAGATTTCAGTAATGGGCACAGTTTGACAGGTGGGGAACTGCTTTTATTCTCTAGCTAAAATGCTAACAGAACTGTAGGTAGTGACAATTCAAACAGGAAACAATTCCTGTATTACTGTAATAAATATTCAGATGTTTATTGTTGTTCTATGAAAATCTTTGGTTTTCTGACAATTTATGCCTGACCTTAATTCAGGAAGTGTGATTTAGCTCAGTAAAAAGGCAAAATATGCATGTTCATCTTTTTAAGGGCATAAATAACAGTCAAGGAGCCTTGTGCTATAGTCCATGAAAATATTAATGTACTTCAGAAAATTCTGTGCACTTTCTTATTGTCACAATGTCTTTTAAAAGTTCCTTCAACACAACTTCCGTCAGTAGACTTTAATGATACCTGAGGATAATGTTTTCTTGTGTGTAGGCCAGTGGTTTGACTGATACCTTCAAGTGAACCTTTTCTGCCTCTAGGCATTTGAAAAGAGCACTTTAATCTTTGTGAATCACACTAGAAATTCTTGTAGAGTTTTTTTGAAGGGAGGAGGTTCAATTAATTTCAGAGGCAAAGGTCAGACAAGAACAGTAAGTCTTTTAATCGTGTTAAGGTCGTTGTTACAAATCACACTTGGTGTAGTATCCCTCCTTCTTTTGGTTTGGGTTGGTTTGGTTTTTTTCTTCCAGGTGAGAAGTAGACTGAAGTGGCAAGATAACCTGGAAACTACCTGCTTTTGGAAGTGGTCAGAATTATTGAAGCTTTGCTTTGGAGGCTTTTGGGTTGCAATTCTACATTTCTTACAGAAATAAAATTTATAGAGAAGTTTAAGAAAAGACCCCTTTAATTTAGGTCAGTTTGCTAGTGGTGGTGTGATGGCACTCTGAGGCAACATGAACTTGAAAAGGATTGAGCCTCCCTGTAGCAAGGGGTTTACTGTCTTACAAGATAAAAATCTAAGGACCTGCTACCTTGAGGTACTCTGCTAGAAGTACAAAAATATTGCTGCTGGTGATCTGGCTGCCTCCTGTGTTTGATAAATAGACTGTCTTTTGTTGTGGACTTTGTCAGACAGATGTGCCTGGATATTTAGGGATTTTTCTTTTGTAACTTTAAGACTTATCTGGCCAAAAGAAATGGAGTAATGCAATTTTTTTTTTTTGTTTTAGGAATTCGATGAATCTTCACCAAAACGTCCAACAAATCCCTATGCCTCCTCTAAAGCAGCTGCAGAGTGTTTTGTTCAGTCTTATTGGGAAAGGTACCAAGTAAGTTGATGGAAGCTTTAAAAACTCTGAAACCTATAGTTAAGTGTCTGTATTATGTATAGAAGAGTATAAAAAAACCCCCACTACTAGTCCACACAGTGCCTCCTCTTTCCTTATTGTTAGTCCTCTAGTTTGGATGTCTTGGAGAATGTCCACCAATAAGTGGTGGAGATACACTGCTAGACAGTGTGGACAGGTCAGATGTGTTAAATTTTTGAATCTGCACTGTAATGTCTAAAAATGGGCTTTGATAAAATGGTCAAAGAGAACATTAGGAATTTAAAAACCACTGCTAAGTTTGAAGGAAATAAGAAAGTATTATACAGAAGCAGAACATGCAAAATTCAAGTTGTATTAAGACCAGGCTTATAGTCAAAACAAAAAAAGAAAGAAGAAAAAGTCCTATTAGTCAGATTTGCTTAAGCAAAAATATTTAAAATTTTCAGTGCTTTAGGCTTTTGTTCTTGACGTATGATATTTTTGATATAAAGTGGACATGAATAGGATGTTAATGACATCTTGGAATAAGTATCCTCCGGTGGTTCCAGAGCAAGACAGAGATTTCAAACATTTGTCACCTGTGGTACTTCTAACAGGCTGAGAAGGCTGGAGGCCCTTGCCTGTTTGGGAGAAACACAGGTAGTTTAATTCATTAATGTCTGTAAAGGCTTGCAAGATTTTTGAATAAGCACTGTGCTTGTGTCAGTTTGTGGTTTATTGAATAGCAAGAAGCTTACAGATTTTTACTGGTATATATTTTCTTATGTAATCACATGTATGTTTAATGCTCTCAAGTTTCCAGCTGTTATCACACGAAGCAGTAATGTTTATGGACCACATCAGTATCCAGAAAAAGTAAGTTAAACTATGCTTTACTCTGAGCTTCAGTGTACCATAATCCAGGGTTGCAGGGATGTTACTTCTTTCTCATATAAATGGGGTCACTTTTGAAAAAAGCACTATTGCAACTAAAGTGTGATTGTATATTTTAAACTCACACTGACATGTCTTATCACGAGCACATTTAAACCTTGTTCTGAACTGTTGGCAGTAATTATTTCTAGTTACTGTTGTGTGCAAAAAGTAATGGAAATTTTTTTTATTTTTGTAAAAATGTTACATTTTGTAACTGACAGAAAGATAAGGTTTACATTAAAATAGAGGCATCTACTCTTAAGGACCAAAAGTCTTGCAGTTTCAAGGCTTGATACATTCTTTCATTAGACTTAATAAAACTTAAGTATTTAAAGGATTTTAATAAAATACTTAATGATACTTGACTGGTGAAGTCCTTATTCTTTGCAGAGTAACAGCTTCTAAAAGAGCTCATTTTTTTTTTTGTTCGATTCCTTAGGTTATTCCAAAGTTTATATCTTTGTTGCAACAGAACAGAAAATGGTAGGTAACTTGCGTTTTTTGTTTGTGGTATTTGTGCTATAAAACTGTAATTATGATTATAAATATGTGCTACAGTTTGTAAAATGATAATTTTATAACTAAGTTATGAATTAGTTATTTTAATAATAGGATTTCCTTAAAGTAAAGGATTGTTTACATGTCAGCTACTGAAAGTACCTTCAGGTAACATCTAACGGTAAAACTGCTGAAAACACAGTCCAATAAATTGAATCTGTCTGTTTAAGGTTTAACAAAAATTTTTTGTCTTTTCCTTGTCCTAGCTGTATACATGGTTCTGGACTTCAAAGAAGGAATTTCCTTTATGCAACTGATGTGGTAGAAGCATTCCTTACTGTCCTGAAGGAGGGGAAGCCAGGTGAAATTTATAACATTGGAACTAACTTTGAGATGTCCATTGCCCAGCTCGCTAAGGAGCTAATCCATTTAGTGAGTAAACAGTTCTGATACTTTTCTTTACCATTTTTCTTTGCACATATTTACAATTATTCTACAAACCTCTTGTAGCTCTGAAAGAACTCAGATTTGTGATGGGTCTTGGAAGGTGATTGTAGCAGAATGATATGCTACCCCTTCTGTGGCAGCTGCACTGTGTAAGTTTGCAGTACAGGCTATGCTGGGTTGGACTGCTGCATCAGTTATCCTGACTGGGACATAACTGGCATAGTGATTAAATACCATTTAGTAGGTTTTTTTCATGCTAGCTGCTTTAGTTTTGGTCTGAAAATGTAGCACTATTAAAATCTAACAATTTGATTATGGATGTTTTGGTAGTGCTCAGATGAAGGAGAAATATTGAAATTGTTCTAGACAATTTTGGTAATTTCAGTCGTTTGAAAACTCAGTTTACGAAAAACCATTTCTGTTTGTGGTTGTTTTTTTTTTTCTTAACAAACATATCTTGTTAAGTGTGGTTTTTTTAAGTGTATGTTTAGACAATGCAAGATGTAGGGGGTTGATGATTGTTTCTCTTCTTGATAGATAAAGAAGACCAGTTCAGAATCTGAAATGGAGCACTGGATGGATTATGTCAAAGACAGGTAAGGAGTGTGGAGCATTTGCAGGATACCTTGGGCATGCAAGATAGCTTTGTCCTGAAGGTTTCTGATACTCTTGCCAAAGAGTTTTTTGTGGAAGTGTTTTTGCTCTGAAGGAGGGAACAGTTCTGAGGAACTAAGCTGTTTTGCTGTCTTAATTTTTTTTTTTTTTTACTAGTGTATTTGACATCTATGATCTATACAGAGCATTGTATGGAAAAACAGGATTTCCATTTATTATTTGGATCTTTAGGTCAGAGTGTATGTCTTGAAGGGGAATGTGTAATGCTAATCTGTCTGTCTTCAAACTTTCTTCATACATCTCACTACTGAAGCCCGCTCTGGGAAGAGGACAGGTTTTGCACAGCAGCTAAATTTTTTCATCAAGATAGTTTATATAGGTTATTCAGTACTTTGTATTCAACATCACTGAGTGAGATGAATTGTCTCTCGCTTACTTTTGGTATTTTGACGTTAATGTGACTAATTCAGACTTATATGTATTTTATAGTAAGACCCACTCTGCAGGCAGAAATATGTGCCTATGGAGTGTAGTTACTTTTAGATTTCTATCTTAAGCTGAAGCTGCTATCTCAAAAGTAGATGTAAATCTCTAAAGTGCCAAAGTTAGGGCGTTGGTAAAAATAGATAACTTTTATAGATGTGCTTTTGCTGTGTGTTTCTGTCCTTAATTTCAGGCTTGGTTTCGCTCTGTTCTTTTATCTCCATTTCTTTTCAGCAACAATGAGTCTCTGCTTACTTTAGATATCACTCTCTCCAGAGTGATTAGAAATGACGTGTCTGCTGATAGCAGTTAAGTATTATGGCCTTTAGAATTCTCACTTTCTGTTCACATATGGATTGTTATCATGGCAACTGAAGTGTCCTTCAGAATCCTGTCTGAGTATCACAGACTTTTGAACAAATTGCCTTTGGCTCACATGAAGTGACTGTTCAGTAGGTCTCAGTGTAATTCAGCCTAGGATGTTTCTTCATGTGTATTAGGCACTCTTTCCTCATGTTTAAACCTAAATGGGCTTGGGAAAACTAACCACCTTCAAAGAAGGTTGAGGTCTTATAAAAGATTCTTCGGCTACCTAACTAATGATTATTTAATTCTGTAATGAACGACTTAAAGGTCATGGGGGTTACTTGCTATGGAAAAATTAGTTCTGCTTCTGCTTGAGATTAGTGTGTTATAATAACAATGAGAAGTACTTGGTTTGTGTTTGCACAGGTACCTTGACTATTCAATATTCCAGTGCCAGTAATGCAGGAATGCTAGACTAGGCTACCTATCTGCCAGACTGTGGAAGTGAAAATTTGTGTAAGATACTTCTTTCTGTGTTGAATCTTGCAGCTTGGGATTCTACATATTCAGTATTACCAAGTTTATGTAGCTACCCTGAAGCACTGTAATGACAACGCTTTGGAAGCCTGTGTGTTTTAAATCTGAAGTATGTGTAAATTTGTGAGTTTTCAGGATGAAAAATGTAAATGCTAATATTAGGAAACACTGGCTTTGTGTTGCAAATGCAGTGACTTGCACAAATGCATTGGCAGTGATTCGAGTTTTGCATTAATTTTGTGCCAATGAAATATTAATTCATATTTATTCTAGTCAATTCCAAGTAGCTGGCTGTACAAACTGAATTGTATTGTTGTAGCTGCACTCAGCTGCCATGTATTTTTTGAAGGCAATGCAATCTGTTCATGTTGATGGGAATTTTTAAAATTGAAGCATACCTAATATTCCTTTGAAGACAATGTGAAGTACTGCATCTCTAATTAATGAAGTCTAATCAAATTGTTTTCTGTATGCATTTTATGCTTCATCAGGCCTACAAATGACCTGAGATATCCAATGAATTCAGAAAAGATGCACAACTTAGGATGGAGACCTAAAGTGCCTTGGAAAGAAGGAATAAAGAAAACAAGTAGGACTGATGGCTTTTACACTGATGTAGAATTGATAGGAGGAGGGAGGGGGGAAGGGGGGGAAATGGGTATATAGGTTAGTTAATTAGAAGCTAAAGAGATAGAATTTAACACTTAAATTTTACATAGAATTGTCTGCTTTTTAGTAGTGAATTTACATGATTTTAAAAAAGTTTAATCCCTTTTTAGTGCTAGAATAAGTCTTGCATGAAGAACTTATAAAATTTAAACTAGATTTTTATGGCATTATAGGTTAAAATTTTGCATAATGAACTATTAGCATGTTGTTAGTCTTATGATGTCTGTGGAATATTTGAACTTCCCTGTTATCTCTGGTCAGCTTAACTCATCAACGTTCTCTCCGTACTAGTTGAATGGTACAAAGAAAACTTTCACAACTGGAAAAACTCGGAGAAAGCTTTGGAACCTTTTCCTGTGACAGAGCCATTTGCACAACTCAGTGGTCCGTAGGGTGGTGCAGAACCTGAAGGAGTTTTTTCTACCTCATGCGATCTTTCCTTCAAAGCCTGCAATCAAGTGGCTGCGCCGGAGTCTGAATGTTTTCAAGATACGTGTGATGAGTGCTACAGTGTGGCACAACTTTGGAACGGTTTCAACTTTTGGTGCAATACTCTATTCTCACTAGGTATTGATTTTAAAGACCTGCACAGAGTGAAGCATATTTATAATGCTGTAAAGTAGTGTAACTGAAGTAAAATCTGCCTTATTAACTAAGAATAATTAATTGCAATTATAGCTTTGGGACTTTCAGTTAGATTCGTTTTAGTTGTGAAATCATTCGTCTGTATTAGTTCGTTTTTACAGTGTAATATATTATTTTTGTCACTTCAAAGAGTTAGGTTTTATTTTTAATCAAGAGGAGAAATGTTATATTTTTTTGCGAGTCGAAATGAGTTGATAAAAGCTAGACATGGCACCTGTATTGTTCTGTCCATTTCTCTTGGTGCAATATTAACTTCTGTAGATGGCTGATTAAACTGTTACCTACTGTATAATTTTAAATGCCCCTTTTTAAGGAGAGCAAGGGGGAAAGGTGTCAAGAAGTAGCAGGTGTTCTTGCTGAGATTTCCAGAAGCATTTTCTTAAACTTGGTCCTCTTTTTACTGTATTACTGTCTTTTACATGTTAATTTCCTTTTCTTAAATGTAATTGTAACAAACTTGAAATACTGGAACACAGTTAACATTCCAGTGATATTATGTCCTGTGATATGAAGGCTGTTTATAGAGAAAATGTTTTTAAATACTTCGTTTTCTGTGAATTGTGGGTTGGCAGACCTTATTCAATGCAGTGTTTCACAATTTTTTTTTCTGTAACATTTTAAAGATTAAACAATATTTGAATTTTAATGTAAAATTTGGAAAAAAACTTCAATTCTAGAAATATGTCAGTGAATCTTTTTCTAAGTCGATTCAGTAATAAAAGTCATGATGTAACTGGTTTCTCTTAATTAAGAAAAACATACAGAAAATGTGGATGGTGGGGTTTTTTTAAAAAAATATTTCTTAGCTCCTTCTCTATCCTGAAAAAATTACCTTTTTTGGTGTTAAAAAAGTTTTCTTTGAGGTGGTGTGGAAGATACAAAAGAGACCACTCTTCTTGGTTTTATCGCTTGAGCTTCTGTACTTGGCACAGTCCCAGATCCTTCTGTGGCCCCTGGGTAGAGCTGCAAGAAGCATACGACTGGGATGCTGTGGTGTTCTCAGCAGTTGTAGCGACTTCAAAATTGTCTCAGAAATTGGGAGGTAACTCTTAAAACACAAGTGCTCCCAACATCATCACACCTCTTGTGTGGTGCACGGTGCTTTTGATAAAATGCCACTTCTGTTTGGCAAGAGTCATTCTAGAAAAAAGGCTGTTTCTAGGTGTACCATAGTGCCAAGTATGTGTTCTAAAGATTAGGAGTGTGTTATTGGAGGTGACATTTCTATGACAAACTGGGATAATAACGCTACGCTTGAACTGTGTGGCAGTTATATTTTTTGGATTTCTGATATACTTGGTTTGGAAGTCAAAGCCTCCATTTGGGAAGGAGGGAAGTTGCAGGGGTTAGTATGTGTTGCTCTGTTAGCATACTTGGTTTACCAGATACGCTTCCATGGATAAATCACTTAAATTTCGTTGTCAAACACATTGCTGGTGACATTCAAATATTTTCTTAATTTTTGTATATTTCTTCAGATATGGCTTACGTACAATATGCATCCTTCCTTACAATATCCATGTTCATGTTTTGTGTTCTACAAAAACCAGTACCAGAAATAGCTGACATGCTGCAAAGATCTGTTTTAGCTGTATTTAGGGTTACCGTGGCAGCTGCTTTGGGTTAGATGCACACAAGTCTGTATATTTCACATCTGTTTATACTGGAATACTGGTTGTGGTGTGTTTTTAGGAGGAGAGATTACAGATTACTAAAATCTTATTATATAAAACCTACATAAACCTTAATTTGAAATTATTTTAAACATTCAAAATAGGTACAGTGTCTTTGGAACACTAAAAATCAATTAACTTATGATGGTGTTACCAGAAATGCACAGAAGAAAGCAGTAGAGTGTGATTGGTTTATTGATTAGATCTGTTGAAAATTGTTTTGAATATTTAGATGCTGAAGATGCAAGCTTTGATATTTATGTCACTATCCAATCAAGTGATATTACCAGGAGTGGATTTTTCAAAAGGATCAATTAATTTTTAGTGGAAGCTGTTCTGGTTTATTTAGGTTTTGAAGATTTAATCCTTCCAAGTGATTGAGATTTTTGGCTCAGTATTCCTACTTTTATTTATATACATATAAATGTATGTATGCACATTTTAAATATATATTTTTTTAAAAATCTAGGAGGCTTTTTCTTTGAGCAACTTTGCTGTAGATCAGTTTTTCTTAGTGTGTGAGTGCTCTGGTAGGACCATTTCTTTCACAGGGAAAAGTATTTTTCCTGTCAAAGGAAACAGCTTATTTTGCCATTAACCTTCTGGCTTCTATAGGAAGAAAGGAACAAAGGATCAACTAGTGAACTGTCACTGTGGGGAATTGTAATGCTTTTAGGTTTTATTTCTCACTGTTTTTACTGGGAAGCATTTCTGCAGATGACAAAGGGGGAGTGATGTAAAATACTGTGAACACTGTAATCTTTCACTCCGTTCTCTCAAGGTTTGTGTCACAGAACAAAGGCTACACGAATTAAGAAAATAAATGGAGTGAACGTGTATGTCACTTAAATCACTAAAACTTTCTAAGGGATAAGACTGGCCTTTGGCAAGGGTTTTGTATCCAGGTTCCATCGTGGGTGTGGGAAGTTATTTGGGTACAGCTGTGGGTTTGCATCTCTTTTTGGGGTTAATGTTGTGAGCTGGATCAGATCTTTGGGAAGCAGCTCCTGAAATCCCTTGTGCATTGGGGAAAACCAACATTGCTACCCCATTATTTTGGTGTAGCACACCTGCTATTCAGTACCTCCCTTGCCGGCAGCAAGTGAAAGGATTGGGAAGACATTGAAGTGGGCAGCTGAGACAGCCATTTGCAGTCAAAGAATCATAGAGTGGTTTGGGTTGGAAGGGACCTCAAAGACCTTCTAGTTCCAGCCCCCCTGCCAGAGGCAGGGACACCTTCCACAGGATGAGCTTGCTCAAAGCCCCATCCAACCTGGCCTTGAACACTTACAGGGATGGGGCATCCAGAGCTTATTCTGCAAATTGTGGCCTGTGGGCCCTTGTGTGTATGTATTGGCTGCAGTTTGTGCAATGGAGATAACTCTTACTTTCTCCAAGGCTTTCTCTGGTCTGACCTTGCTTACATTTGTGTGCTGATTGGCATGAAGGGGTGTCACTGTGGTTGAGGCTGATCATCACTGTCATCATATATGATGGACTAGAAAAAATCTTTAGTTTGTCCACCGTGTACTTTATTTGATGTAGGAGAAAGGTTGTGAGTGAAAAAAACATGTTGTGGGCTTTTTTTTTTGTTTCTTGATTCAGAATGCTTCATTTTACTAAAACTGTATTCTTACACTCTTTAAGTAGCCATGAAATGCAAATATCTTTCTACTTTTCAGGAGGAACTCTTAATGCAAAACCACTCCCCAAATTCTTTCTGGGGAAAAGGTGACTGTTAAATATTCTATATCTGGGACTGAACTGTCCTACTCTTTTGTTTCATTTGTTTTGTATTACCTTAAGTTTTTATTTCCATTTCCATTTCACCTGGCAAAACAAATGTTTCTAAAAATAATAAAAATCAGGATAACCCATTGGTCCATAGTACTTCTGTTGTGGTAATGTATGAAAACTCTTAAGTCAATAGTGTTTTTGACTTCTAAGCATGCCAGGACACATTTGGAGCTTATCTGCAGCAAAGATCACAAGGTTGTGTTAGCTGCATCAGTAGGAGACATGCTTGTTAAGGGATTACATGCATAATTTCTAAGCAAAACAGTCATTGCCCGTGGCAATGGAAAATCATGAGAAGATGAGATTTTGTATCAGTATGTTGTTTGCCACTTCTTTAGTACAATAGTGTGGGTGGTTTTTTTAACCTCTCCCTAATAGAATTTTTTTTGTTAAGAGTTTTTGTTTTCAGTCATGAAACTGCTGGCCCGGTCCTCAGCCTTCTTGCTTCTGAAAATAGGTCTTTGACTTTTGAAAATGTGTCAGCTCCTGGAGAACGGTGTTCGCTCACAAAATACTTCCCAAAAGTGGAACAACTTGAGGAAAAATACACTGTGAAAATAAAAGGAAATAGAGGGGTCTATGTCACTGGATATTCATATGGCTGGCTTGGGAAGAGGCTGGTTTTTCCCCACCTGAAAAAGGAGGAATTTGTTGAACTCCTCTATTATTGTGGAAGAGAGAGAGGTAAAAAAAAAAAAAAAGTTTTAGTTTTTTTTTTTTTTTGTTGGTTGCTTTGGTTTGGTTTTTTAACTAACATGAGGGAGCAGCAGTGAAGAGTCTTGCTAAGCAGCCTCTCCCCACGCAGTGTGCAGGGAGCATGAATAGAGGATGCTGTTAGGGGTAGCTCTTTCTGGAGCCATGGGATGTGCAAATAAACACAAACCTGGGAGGTGAGCCTACAGTACCAGTGCAGTGTGCACTGTTGTGGGCACTTGGGTATATCCCTTGCCTTTAGCTTGTATCGGGAGTGTTATAGCAGTTGCTTGTTGAAATAAATGCCTAATCAACAATGTGAGCATAAACTATTTTTTTCTTATAACTGTGCTTAGGATTTGTGATTTATGCAGACACATGCAGTTTCTCAGCAAGACCATGGAAAAATGGGGGTGCAAGTACCCCTTGTATTCCAGTCTCTTTGTGATAGGTCATCTCTGCACAGAATTTGTCAGGCTTCAAAATAAAGTCCCTGAAAACTGAAGCTAAAATACTGCTAATTTAACGCTCCTAAATCCCACAGAATGTTGTAGTTTCTGTTACTCTCCCAAATGATCCAGGGAGCCAAAGCCAAAACACCATTGTTCTGATAGTAAACACGTGTAGGTTATGTGTGGTGCATAGATGTATACGGGTAGTTTTGTGTTACTGCTGCATTTTAATTTGGCTTACGGCATAATTTTGTTTGCAAGGACTCTTCATTCATTCGTTTGTGCTATCCAGCCCCGTAGAGTGAATAACATCTGTTTTATTTAAATCACCAAGTATAAAGTTCAATCAGGTGATGGGTGGGAAATAACAAATTAGTCCTATCACGCGAAAACGAGAACCACGGCAGCCGAAATAGCTCAGTTGGGAGAGCGTTAGACTGAAGATCTAAAGGTCCCTGGTTCGATCCCGGGTTTCGGCAGAAGAGCCTGCCTTTGTTTTTTCTCTCTCCCTGATCGGGAGGTGGCGAGCGGAGGCTGCTGCTGTAGCAGCCCAGCGGCCTCTGCTCCCGGGGCTTGTGGAGAGCCGCTGGATCCTTTGTTGAGCCGATACCGAACGTGTCGCTCATGACGAACCGTTGCCTGCTTTCCAGTTTCCCGTTTTAGCTCTTTTAAGTTTACCTTTTTTATTAAGGATGGAAAAACAAAGCAGCAAGCTTCATTGCCGGTCACTTCTCTGCCCCTTGCCATCTCCCACTGTCGATGACGGGAGGGAAGAGAGAAGCGAAAGTGAAACTGTGCGATGAGAAGCGGGATGACTGGGAGGGTAGGGGCAGGGAGCGAGGGAGTCTCTCCAGAGTACTGGGAGGGCGACAGAGACAGAAGGATTAGAGATTACTTTTTGCCAAAATCTGGAGCGCAGGTCAAAATTCCCGGACGTCACGATTCTGCTGTCAACAGATGGCTGAAACTACTTTACTTCCCATAAAGGCAAAGGAATACCTTCGAGTACAGGAACTGTGGTAATTAATGTCACCTAGTCTTTACCATTCATGTATTACCTACTGATCCTTTATTTACTTATAAGTTGGGAAAAATCACTTGGATTTTTCTGAAGCGTATTTTTAAGGAGGGCACCTGGTTTTGATCTGAAGCCATGAAGAGGCAGAAAGTTTATTAATTGTCCTTGGTAATTTGTTGCAATTGTTTAAAATATATTCCTTTTATTTGGACCTGCCCTCTGTTAAACCTTCTCTCTCTTAGATCAGAGATCTTCATGGTACATGGCATTTGGTCATCACGAATCTATCAAGTCAGCACCCAGCTTTGTTTTGATAAGCTGAAGAAATCAAACTCTTTGAGACTTTCATTTTAAGACATTTTCTCCTGTTTTCAGGTAAGTTTTTTGTAGCCTTTTTAATATACTGATACCAGAACAATATACAGAAAAAGGACTTTGGGTATTGATGTCACCAGTGCAAAACCCACCAGTAAAGCAGCTCCTTACTTCTCTGTTCAGCGGTTTTCATCTATTCACAAAAAGGTGTCACTGGTCATTTTCTAATTACAGCGTCACATCAAGCCTTGATGTTGAATTACTTGTCTGATAGAAGGAGCACTCACTACAGATGAATATCCTATTAGTACAAACAGGGGTAGTGGTAGTGTTACTTCTAATAAGACAGATAAGGGATAGTATAACTGCTTATATTACTATTTTTCCTAAAGATTTTTTAAGCTTTCGAACGAACATCAAGACTGCATACTTGAGTACTCAAGGATAGAAAAAAATATTAAAATGGTCGCTTTTGACTTCTCATGTGTACTTTTGCATGTTTGATATAAAAAAATAAATACATATTTTTTGCAAAAAGCTTTTAATTATTCATAAAAGACATTAATGGTTCTTTGGGAATGAGTTAGGGAGGTATTAATTTCCTGCAGATGTGCGATCAGAGAGGTAAAAGAAAGAATGACTGCTTACTTTCTGGCCTTTTTCATACTGCTGAATAAAAGAAAGTCATGGAGCAAACTTGGATATCAGACCTCTGACTATCTGCTTAGCTTGTTCACCAGCACCCCGAGAGACAAGGTACGTTTGTATGGAGGGAACAGCCCCACACAGTGCAGACACGAGCCAGCTGGTGCTGCTCAGCTGAGGGGCCAGGACGTGGCCCTGAGACTCCTCTTATGCAGTGGTCTGGCCTTACCCACTCACTGCTGTTCTGGAGATTTGGTCCTCTCTGCCACTGGATTTTTTGAGGGCCAAGAAAGGGTGTGGGTCACTCTCAAAGTGTCTGAGTTTTAGCAGGAGTACCCAGGCACATGAATGTATGACAAGTATGTGCTGTGGTAGTGTCTGAAATTTCTATTTTTAAGCTAAGGATAATATTACCTGCTGTAACAGCAATTCCCTTCTCAGAGGTTTTGTGATGTTAAACACAAATTTTGTGGTACACTGAAATACTAAATGATAGCATTGATACTGAGAAGAAATCTCAGTTTTGTTTGGTAAGGGATTTGGATTGGTGGTTGGCTCCCCAAGGAAGTGACCACAGCACTAAGCCTGACAGAGTTCCAGAAGTGTTTGGATGATACTCTCAGGCATGTGGTGTGACTCTTGGGGGTGGTCCTGTGCAAGGGTAAGGGTTGGACTTGATCCTTGTGGGTCCCTTCCAACTCAGCATATTCTGTGATTCTGTGTCCCAACACTGCAGCTCACAAAGCCTTGGATGCTGTTTCAACACTGAGTAAGGCCTAGGGTCTTATGTGGAAGAAGAGGATAAAAGGAAGAGATAAACTTAATTCTGGTATTTTTAAACTTCTTTCTGTTTGATTTTGCAGGCTTGATGCAGATTTCTGATGTGATTTGGCAGGTCCTGCGAAAATAACTGCAAGACTTGCTGCTTTATTGCTTGTCACACAATATTCATACATTTTTCATTCAGCTGTATCTTCTTTACATAATCTTTATTTTTTTGCCACTTTCTAGATTTATTCTTACCAACAAACATTTCCATTTATTTTTCTATCAACTTCTTCCCTCAAAATGCACCCCCTGCTAGGATGCAAATCCAGACTACTTTCACATCTTTCTAAGACTTTATGTTTTAGTTACAAAGTTCCTTCTCTGCAACTGGGAAACTTCTCTGCCCCTACAGATATGGTTACATACACTTTTTAAAATGTCTATCAAATACTGAAGTTGATACCTCACAGGGATTCAGAGAAGAAATTACATTTTACAATGTTTCTTGAGCTGCATGCAAATATTCGAAATCTGGTGGATTTGGTTCATGTGCTTTTTCCATGACCATCTTTGGCTTCTAAGTGAGTGAAAACTACAGCAGAAGGAGCAGCTCAGAGAGGTGTACCCCACATCCTAGCTCTGCTGCAGGCTGCAAAAACTTGCAATCACAGAACATGACAATTAATAAAGAAGCTTAGAGCTTTACTTTAAAACACCTATATTTGGTATTTTTGATAGTGATGGGAGGAAGTTGCTGTGCCTGTTGGTTTTTTGTAGGCTTCCTGAGGGTTTTAGCAGGTTCAGGTGTTCCTCATATGAGATGATCCTCTTCTTCCTCCATGTCCCCTTAACTGCACGTGTACCTGATTTAAAAATTGCCTCCTTGTCCCTGATTGCAATTTATGCACTTGATATTTGTTACTGTCTTAGGCAACACTCTCAGCAGTGAAAAAATTGTGCTCACGTGTAGTAAAATTTCCTTCTCTTTGGGTTGAAAATTGGGTTTGTTTGATAGAAGATATTTGTTTCTGTCTCTTGACTAAAAGATTTCTGACTTTGTCTCCCTCACTGTTTACAGACATCAGGTAAATCTCATTTAGTTACACAGTATGATAGAGGCGAGGGGTTTAGAAACATGAGTCAGGACTCACATTTAGTGCTTTTTATTTTTGTATATTTTTGATAACAAATCTTAGTTATTGTCTATCTATCTGGTCTCTGGTCCTGTAGAAGAACTAGAATTGTGGGTTTCAACTTTCTGGAAAATAAATGCAGTTAAAAAGAAAACAAAAATTTTCAGCTGACAAAACCTCATGTAATGAGGCTTTTTCTGGTCCAGTTTCTTGGGAGTTTTGGTTTAATTTTTTATTTTTCTTTTTTCTTTCCTAGCGATATATTCCAGAGTTCCTACTTTGTGCTTTTGTAGGAATATAGAGCTCATATTTCATAGTAACGTATAGAATATATGGTATAGTTAACAAGGCAAATCTGGGACAGTTAAGAGAAACCTTAACCTCCAGTCCTGCCATGGTTATCAATGCTATCTTTATTCCTCAGTGAACCTCAGGGGAAACATTATACTTTTTGTTGGAATGTACATCCATTGCTTTAAGCAAGGGAGCATTTATTACTTTGCCCAACAATGTTCTTGGGATTTAGCCCACATGACATGAGGGATGAGTATTTTTTGTTCCATTTTATATTTTCCATTGGGCTAAATAGTAGCATTAGGATTTTGAATAAAAATTGTGAGAGAAGAGTGTCTTCTGGAACAGGCTCTGGAAAGAATAATGTAAGATTCCAACCCAAACTATACTATGATTCTATAATTTCTGATATGATTTCAAATACAGTGTTTCTATCTTTCAGATTTTTTCTTTTAGTATGGTACAGAACTAGACCTGGATTTCCTTCTTCATATTTTCTCCCCTGTGAATGGGACAATTTGTTGCGTAGGTGAATTGTTGAGATGAGAGCCTCTGTCCTACCCTTCCACACTGCAGATGAAGTCTTACGCTCACACCTTCCTGATCATGTCCCAAATCATGGGCCACAAAGACAGCCTGCATGTTCACTGGGCTTCGGGCTCCCAACAGGTTTTGCACAACATCTGTAAAGCTCCACATGTGCCAAAACTAGGATATTAAGTCTGTCTGTATTCCATTTCACCTTACGTAAACTGGAACAAATCTATTCTATGGAGGTCCTCTCCTACCACAGCCATTTAGTGACATTCACCTCACTTCACTTTAGACATTTAGAAAAGCAGTGTCTGTCTGAGTTCGAGTCAGTCACCCTCACCTTCTTTTAAGTTCAAGGCAGAGAAATTAGGATAGAGAGGTCATCTGAACTTGCCAAGATGCCAGTCTGAATGGGGAGGTGAATGTATTCTATGACTGCCTTTATAGTTAGCCCAGACTAGGAGCCGATGAAATAATTCTGGAGAAAAAGCTGTCTTTGCTTAGGTGGTCACCGCAGCAGTGGTTTAATCTGTCAAGTCAGCATTGTATTTATCTAAATTATAAATAGCTTAAGCTTTTATCTCTGTTCCTACATGATATGGACTCTGGGAAAAGTATGCTTGTTTAGTTAGAAAGTTTAATGGAGTCTCACTTAGCAAATGATGATACTCCTTCATGATCACCAAAGTAGTTTCTCAGATGTGTTAAATGAGGGATGGGATGGGGTGGAAGAATGATCTTACAAAGGAAATATAAGTGCTCGTTCATTATCTCTGACAGAAATGAATAAAACTGCAGTAAGGCAGCATCTGACTTAAAAGTATAAAAATGCATCCACAAATAATGTTTATTTAAGGCTGTGGAAAGATCTGAGTTGACACAGGCATCTGCCATACTAAAGCAATGTATGATTTTAGGACCTTTCTATGCAAGTTGTGTATAGTACATGCTTCAACTAGCACGTGTTCTGGGAGAAGTGAGAAGCAAAGTGCCATCAAATTTGGAGCTTTTGAAGTGAATGTCTTTAATGAGGAATTCCCATTGCAGTCAGCTCCAGACTTACAGGAGGCAAGTTCAGCCAGACTGCAAGGCCCAGTGAGGAATCAGTGAGGAATCTGTGTGGGATTCATCTACCTAAATTGAGGTTAGGTCTTGTGTGGTGCAGTTCATCCTTTCCTAATGTGAGTACAGAAAACAGGCCAAGTGAATTGCACCCTAAATCCATCTATTTCTCTCCATTAAGAGAGTATCTTACGAAGGAAATCCTGAGTGACTGGTTATGTGTAGATATCAATAATCAATAGATATCTAACATCAAGTGGGATAAATTTCATCCTCTGTCACAAGGAAGCCTACGGGTAAATGCACAAAAAGATGATGTGAAATTGGTGACACAAGGGAAACTTGAGTAATCCAGCATCCTGATTGATAGGGTACGAGTACAGCAGTTGAGGAAAGAAAACTCACATAAGACTGTGAAACTGTCTTTAACTCAGGTTGAATTCCTGGCTGCACTTATCTTGTGTATTTTCCATGAGACCTGAGCAAATTGTTCTTCTCTGAGGTGCTCCTCTGTTCTAACAATATGTGAATGTAGTGTAGGATAAAAATTGGTTTCAGGAAAAGAATTCCACAAATCAGAAAGGGACTGGATAAAAAATATGAGAAGCCAGGAGGTGAAGACCCTGCTTATATGAAGAAGGATTTTGTGCAAGGGCAGGGTCATGAGATCTTCAGAACTGCTTTGGCATGCCCAGACTTTGGCCTCATTCTCCCAGATACAAGACAGGGAGACAAAGGATAAGGTGATGAAAGGGCAGTAGTTTGTACTGAGAGTTCCTAAAGACTTAAATTTGCTATGAGATTCAGGAAATCTAGAACATGCACAGGCATCTGGAAGCTGCAGGTTTCCTCATAGAATTATCTTTCTTCTTGTTATTTCTGGAGTTATCACCTGTCTTTATGATATAACCTGTAATTTATTTATTCTTTCTATTGATGTATTGGTTTCCACACAATTTTATATGTAGAATGTTTTATTTTGACCAAAATTCTTTCCAAAATGCCAAAGGCTTTCTGGCTTGATGTTAATCTGTGCTTGAGTACAGTAGAAGGAACCTGAGAAACAATAGTGTCATTGAGAAAAAAAATGTGAACCCACTGCCTACTTACTATTGAGGAATTCTGTATTACTTGTGTGGATTGTGTTTAGTGATTTCTTTGCCTGTATCTTGGAGTATTCTTTTTCTTTATTTCCTCTCTTGCCACATCCTGTCTTTGATGACAGGGTGAGAAGTTTGCTGTTGAGGGTGACCATGGTCACGAATCCAGACTACAAAGTAGCTGAAATACTGTTTTCCTGTACTTTCAGTGTAAAGCCCAGTTATTTTAACTAGTGTATTTAACACAGTTTCAGGTGTGGTAGCCTGACCTAGTAGCTCAGATGTGTGGTGTGGTGTGTTCACCTTGGCTGGATGCCAGGTGCCCACCAAAGCCGTTCTGTCATTCCCCCCCTTAGCTGGACAGGGGAGAGAAAATACAGCAAAAGGCTTGTGGGTTGAGATAAGGACGGGGAGAGATCACTCACTAATTACTGTCATGAGTAAAGCAGACTGAAATTGGGGAAATTAATTTATTACCTGGCAAATCAGAGTGGAGTAAAGAGAAATAAAATCAAATCTTAAAAACGCCTTTCCCTCATCCCACCCTCCATCCTGGGCTTAACTTCAGTCTCAAATTCTCTACCTTCTCCCCACCAGCAGTGCAGGGAGACAGGGAGTGGGGACTATGGTCAGTTAATCACACATTGTCTCTACCACTCTTTCCTCCTCACACTCTGCTCCTGCTCCAGCCTGAAGTTCTTCCCACATGAGACAGTCCTCCATGAATTTCTCCAATGTGAATCCTTCCCACAGGTGAAATCCTTCAGCAACAGACTGCTCCAGTGTGGGTCTCTGCAGGGACACAAGTCCTGCCAGCAGATCTGCTACAGCGCAGGCTCCTGCCTCCACAGGTTCACAAGTCCTGCCAGGAGCCTGCTTCCCATGGGGTCAC